TTTTAATATTATATATGAATTCGATGTAGAATTTAACGCTGAGTCTGAATTTGAAATTTTGAACATTTTATCTCAAGTATTTTTCGAGTTATTCGACTTAGAAAATTTGACCGACGGACCGGTTTTTGTCATTTTTTTACGGCATGTGATTGTGTGCGAGGGTGGTCACTTTGAGAACCTCATTCATTAGTTCCACTAAAATTATCATTATTTCTAAATAAAACAAAATTTATTTGAACAAAATATCTCAAGTCTAAGTATTTTTTAAAAATTAATTAAAACTCTTGGTATATAAAAACAACCCTGTACATTGATAATTTTAACTTACAATAATTTAAACTTATAGATCCCAAAGTGAGTACCAGTAGTGATAAACTCGCCAACACAACTCATGTCAAATATGTAATGAAGATTTGAATTTAAATTTGAATTTAAATGGTATTTAATATTTTTAATTTTATTTTTAAAAATAATTTAAAATTATTGTTTTAAATACCAATTAATAACTTTTTAAATATAAAAATTATAGACTTTCTATTTGGATATAAATATTGTTTTGTTATTTATATTATTATTATAAAAATTTTGTGAATGATGACAAATTTACAATTTACTACAACAATAAAAATGTAACTATTGTATTGTACAATAACAATACCTTCAAAATAAATCGAGGTTTAAAATAAATATACTTGGTGATAATGTATGTATGTATTCATATTATTTTTTAAATTATTACAATCATGTATAATTTTCTCAATAAAGATTGTAACAAATTAAAATTTTTACAATTTTTTTTATATTATACATTTGATTAGTTTTTACATTAATAGTATAATGATAGAACATGTATTATTTGATAAGTAATATGCGTTATAAAATAGGCGACAGGATATTTACAATAAGGTTTGTTACCATAAATAACTATAAATAAAATTATTTTTCGGAAATATTTACTAACTATTTAATAAAACAAACGTAAAATAAAAATTCTATGTGTTTATTTTTATTATTATAAGCTATCTCGAATAACTTTACCAATAACATTAAAGTAGATATTACAATTTTTAAAATAAAAATAAATAAAATGACATTAATTTTGTTATTTAATAAAAATTCTTAAAATAAAAAATAATAATACATTTCATGAACAACAATAAAATTATATTTTATATAAAGATAATATTATCAATAAATGATATGAATTGTATGGACAATAAAGACTACAACAGTTGGCGTTAAATGATATTTATTTATTAGTTACCATGGTTGTATTTTCTCTATTACAAAATTAATGTTATTTTTATTTATATTACTTATGGATTACAAATTAATTAAAATACAATTACAGTATGTATTTAAAAAACAATAAATACTTTTGATGTTTTTTAATTATTATTACTTAAAATAAATTTTTAATTATTTAAGTCAATACAAATAAATGTAATTATTTCTGAGCGAATTCATTATAAAAATAACAATACAAATCAGAATATGGATATATTGGATGAACCACTACCAGGTCAGTTTGATTCTGTCCTACTTATGCAACCAGAGAACATAATGTAAGTTATATTTAAATTTTATAATTATATGACGTAAGACAATAATAATAAGCCGTAACTTATTAAACTATAATTTCTATTTATTTTATATTAAATAATAGGCGCCCAACTAATAACAACACAAACGAAATTAATCAGCAACAATATCGGGGTTATACTAATGATCACTCTAGATCACACGAGCCTTTAAAAGGTAATACACTAGTTTGTATTTAATTAATATAATACTTAATGCTGTAAATATAAATAAATGTGTAAAGTGAACGAGCATTTAGGTTCGCACCCGGTGGCTCGCCCTAGGTCATATATACAAAATGTTGAGCAACATATCGTGGACCCACATTGTTATACAGTCCAACACATGGATTTGCCCTCAAAGCCTGTGATGGAAAGTGCTGGATTGAATACCACGGTAGTCAAGCCCAATAACTGGAATAACCCAAATGAAACAATTGGGGTAATTAAAACATTTTTGATGTATAACAATTTATTAAGAATATACTGTATCGCATAGTTATGTAAAATTATTATGTTATTTTTAAATACAGAAAAATGAGATCACAATTGTATTGTTGGGAGAGTCAGGTGTGGGAAAGTCCACATTCATTAACGCATTTGTAAACTATTTGTCGTTTGCAAGTCTGGATGCAGCCAATGATCAGCCCATATGTTTAATTCCGGTTAGTTTTAGTTTGACTGACCCGACGACACGAACACCTGTAAGGGTAGTATTGGGTGACCAGGATATGAATGAAAACAGCGATGACACGACTAAATCATGTACACAATATCCAAAATGCTATAAATTTGAAGATGATAATATTGTGCTCAATATAATCGATACGCCGGGAATTGCGGACACGGATGGTATGGATCAGGACAATAGAAATATGCAAAATATATTAGATTTTATTAGCAATTATAAAAAAATCAATGCCTTTTGTATACTTTTAAAGCCAAACGAAGCGAGACTCGATGTCCTCTTTAAATATTGTTTGTTTCAATTGTTCACTCAATTGAATAAAAGTGCCGCAAATAATATATTATTTCTATTCACAAACTCCCGGAGCACTGATTACATGCCCGGAGATTCCGGACTCGCATTACTCAGTATTTTGGACCAAATCAGGGAAAGTCCGCCAAATGTTGACATCCCTTATAATAGAGATACAGTCTATTGTTTTGATTCCGAGTCTTTCCGATATCTCGTGGCTTCGGTTCCGCCAAATAATATACAGTTTGAGCCGAGATTAAAATCGACATATATTGAAAGTTGGGACAGGTATATAATACAAATTAATTATTAAACATATAAAGCTTTATATTAAACTTTTATATAATGTCAGATCTGTTAATGAATGTCAGCGACTATTAAACCACATTATACAACTGCCGGCACACAAAGTGATGGACACCCTATCGCTGAATAACGCCAAACAAATCATACAATTACTAACCAAACCGTTGGCCGACATCACGAAGAATATCGCAGATAACGTAATGCAATGCGAATTACATAAACTTGGGGTCAAAGGGCAAACGCGAGTCAGCCCTAAACCACACATACCTACCGTTGAATTGTGTTACTTACCATTAGCTCAGCCAAAGACAGTGTGCGGTCACGACCAGTGTTGTAACACCACGGTCATTAATCACATATCCAAACCAAATTATCACACACCGTGCCATTCACCATGCTACCTTCACTATAACGATGGTAATATTATGGGCAATAGGGCCATACGACTATGCAAGTCATTCAACAAATATAACACCAAAGATCATGATTCAAATAAAAGCAAGGTAAAACTTGGACTAGCTGGCGAGGTGTTTGCTAAAATAACAAGGTCAAATACGTGCCGCGCGTGTGGCCATAGTTATCAAGATCATCTAAATATTACTTACGAGTTTCAGGAGGTGCTCCGAGAAGTGCCCGACAATAATACGTGCGTAAAATCTGTTGCATTGACCGAATCCGAGGGTCCGGACCATGAAATCCGACGTCTGGACCAACGGATTGATGAATTGAGTACTGAAAGCGAGACAATCATCAACTCTATGGCATTATTTGCCTGTTTTCTGGCCAACAATACGTTGACCGCCTGTCCGGACGCCTTCGACGACTACGTCCACCACTTGATGTCGAGTCAACCGTACGGTACGGACCGCCACAGTCGGGCCATAATTGCGTGGTTTGAACAGTTTTTGCATAATTACCGACATGCAAAATTGGCCATCGTGAATAATATGCCCTATGGTGTTGTGATTACCGTAGAGCGTGTGGCACAGGTTGTTAGAAATCTGTCCATGATGAAACATAACGGACATCTATTTCGCAATATTCTAAGTCATGAACGTCAGACCAAAGTAAAATACCACGTGATTCACAACGAGATAGATTACAAGAATCAAACGCATAGAAGATTTAGCTTGGCTACATTTTTGGCAAAATTAAGTATGTAAAATATCCATATTTTATTTAATCTGAATCATATAAACTTAATTTTATATATGTTTCAGATCACCGATTAAGCACCTAAATTATTAAACAAAATTGGACCATGGAATAAACTGTTGTAATTGTGTAATAAATTACATTTGAATTTGCATTCATGAATCATGATGCATTAATGCATTAAATTATTTTGAATAACAATTTATTTTGCTTTATTTTTTAAAATATGATGAAATAATTAATAATATTGTAAGCCGTGTTTTTGCCTGTCATTATAATCATTGCCAATTATAGCAATTAAAAGCAATGACTCGGCGTTTATGCCCTGTGATGAGAGATATGATGAGCACATCATCACATCTCTCGTCAGAATACCAGTAGCGCTCAAAAGGCACTGTTGTGTATATTGTTTGTATTGTCTGTCTTTCATTTTTAATAAATGTTTAAGCATAATATATCTATTTTATTAATTGTGAAAATGTATGCGTGTGTACAGTGC